TGCTGATCTTTTTGGATTTTCTTCACTGAAGCGCACTTTCCTTGGAAATGTGTGGAACAGGAAAAGGAAGGAAGAGAGAAAACCCTTACAGAAAATATTTTGGATTTAGAAAAATGACCTCCAACTGGGTAGTTTTCATGGCAGTGCTGAGGGAAAAGGGTAGATCTTGGACCAAAATATTCTTCTCTAATAAATGCATTCTAAGTTTCGTAACTATTCATAACTATAATTCTGTTGTAATGAATGGGGGAGGGAGAGGCATAACTCTGCCCTTTCTTTCCTACATATCTGGGGCAAGATGTCTTAAGGACCAGCTAGCAGTGATAAGGAAGATAATTAATGAGATAATTAATGCTTACTGTGCTAAGAGACATTTTACTGATATCGCATCCTCTGGCCCAGTTGTTCAGGATGCTGGATTTTAATCCACTTGCTGTTTGCCTTTGCAACTCTTCCCTTCAACTCCTGCCTTTTTAATTTTTCTTAAGCGCATAGCACTCTGCGCCATGGCCACCCATCCTGACCAGAGACCTTTGTTACAACTTAATTAAAACAGTGAATTAATAATACTTCAGAAGGGCTTCATTCCTCTTTTTGTGTAATATCCACCTGTGTTCAGACCAGACGGGAGAATCCCCACAGCAAGTCATCCAGAAAGTTCTTCAGGTGCCACAAGCCTGTCTCCATTGCTCACAGGTGTTTCCAGCCCTTGCTCTTCAGAGGATGTTCCTGTCTTTGATGAACATTCCTTGCAAATATAAATTCACTGCCTGTGGAAGTCCCATCTCCACAGGATTTAGCTCTTTAAAAGAGGCACCCATTTAACTGTATAGGATTGAATATTCACAACAGCACCTTCTTATAATGAACCGGCATCCGACAAACCAGGAAGAAGAGCAATATATAGCAGAATAAATCAGAACATCAAGCAGCGAGAATCAGTGTTGATTATTATAACAAAGAAAAAGAAAACCAAAACATTAAGAAGTCCCAGGGGAAAGAAATCTCCCTTGTTTCCTGTTAATTGTACCTGTTCTCTCGCACTCATGCTCTGCATCTTTCCTCTGGCAGCCACTGACCAGCTGCCTTCTCTCTTACATGCAACTGTAAATCACTCTGCCAGAGGCAAGGTCAGGAAGTGCAAGCGCTGCTGCTGGAATGGCTGATGGCTGGTGACCATGGGAAGGGAAAGACCACTTGTGGAAGGTCAAGTTAGGGAGATTTATCATTAAAAAACCCACTTTCTTCCACTAACTGGAGCCGAGTATGAAGGACAAAAGAGAAAAAAAGGGAGAAAGATGCCTCCTTTCCAACTCAGGTCATTGTCTGCACTCACTAAGGCTGGAATCCTCCCCTCCTAACTTGTTCTTGTTCTCTTGATGATGGGGCCAGTTTGGCCACTAGTAGCCAGCAATAGCAATATAGGACACAAACAAAGCATATACAATACAAGATGTGTGGTAACAGCAGGACCAACCCAGAGCAGCCACAGATTCTATTTAAGACTGCTGTAATCTATATTTTTCTTCCTTGACTCCAGGGTCAGCACAGGAATAGAATGGCCCTAACATCAGAGCAGCCTCAGAGCCCCTCACAATTGTCACTTCAGATGAAGGCAGACGCTACATCTGCTCCGAATCTGTCAGATAGACCTCTACAAGCCCCTACACAAACTAGAGGGCCCAGGTAACTGTTACTTCACCAGTAACGACCCCATCACAGGAATACTGCTATCCCAGCATGAGCTCTTCCCCTAGCACCCTTCCTAGGTGCTTTGCCCTTTCGCAGCATGGAACAGCCAGAGTAAACCAGGCTCTAAAACCCAGCATGTGAGTGGACAACGCAGCAGCAAACATGCACAAGCACTGTTTTAAATGCATGCATTTCTCAGGCATGTACAGAAGTACACAGGCATTTTTGTTTGCTCCAGAACAGTACAGCTCTCCAATCTTCAGAAAGAAAACATCGCAAACCAGGTAATAAATTTACTGGACAAAATTCTTCCAAAGGAATGACTTTTCATTCATTCCTTTCAAGATTATGAATCTATTCTGGAAACAAAACTTCACATATATGACCTTTAAAAAGTTCATCCCATTTAAAATAAATACCATTTAGAAAACCTGCCTTGATAAGGAGTTCAGAATCTTTTGCATAACAGTCTTGACAGCAGCCAACTGTTCAGCTGTTGCTGTTATTTGTCTACCTTGCAGCATGCTGGCACACCACAGAAGTTTCAGTAATTTCAGCTCATGTGTAGCTGAGCATATTCCTCCTCTTCATTTCCATTCAATTTGACAAGCCTGAGGTGGCCAGTCACATATCACAGACAAACTGCTTAAAGACTGCACCGGAAACCTCGAGAACATCTCTCTGGAATTCGGAGTGGTTAACTCCTATCACTTAACCAAGTTCACAAACAAGAAATGGCTGGATTTCCCTCCAGTCATTTATTCTCACCAGCTTCTCTGGCCCAGTGATACCATAGTTGGATGATCAGTTAGCTGTGAGAAGGGAAAGTAAATTACCTGAGGTTAGTATTTTCAGAGTACCCTCTCACCTTCATGGCTTTCACAGCCTGGGATCCAGAGTAATCAAATTCCCCTGCCTGACCAATCGACAGACCCCCGGATCCTAGAATGAGAACTCTGGAGACCTAGAAGTGTCAAACAGCACGAGAAAAATCAGTCCTAGCATAGTGGATGTTGAAATGAACAGAGACTGTACAGCGCTGAACAGTGCCAAATTACAAAATGTAAGTTCTAAAGAGAAAAGTCACCTCGAAAACCGCTGCAGTTTTACTTCTAAGAATGTATCTACTGGAGTTCTCCCATTTATATCTGGTTAAAGAAACACATTGGGCATACAATAAACACGTTAGTTGTATCACATGCTTATAGACAACCATGTTTCACTGTGGCTGCCCACGGAGTTCAGCTGCCCTCTCAGATAGCAAAACCATATGAAATTCAGCTCATATTAGGAATTTCAGACTTATTTGCTAAGCAGCAAAGCATCAACATTACAATACTGGCACAAAGCCTCATGGCCAGATTATCCCAGAGCACCTCATATACTGCTCTGAGAGTACCTTTCTTGGGAGAACTACAAAGAAAGATAAATGAAGTATCAGATCTTCATACTTTCTCAAAGAATAGATAGTTGATAACACAAGAGATGCCTGATGGCTTTGAGACAGGCAGCTGACAGGCCTTTTGTGAGGGAGCCTCCTTCGATTTCCACGGTAAGCTTTTTGTGCCATTTTTTTTCAGGAATTAACAAGCTCCTAGCAACACTCACAGCTATGAGTAACGAGTATCTGCACACCGACCTCCACTCTGGAAGCTGTAGCTCCAGCCTTGGGCAGGACCGAGGAGATAGTAGTGCCTTTCCCTCTCTTAACCAGTGAAATAAATGAATCAAACAGGAACTAGGAGAAACAAACACATGTATTAAATCCGCAAAGTGAAACTAAATAAATACCAGGCAAAGAAGGGGAAAAAAAGAGGTTATTTGTGAGCTCAAGCTACCAACTCTGCTCTGCTGCCTTCAGAAGGCAGATCTAAACCATCAGAGAAGAGGGGATATTATTGGAAATTTATTTAACAACTCTGACATATCTGACAAAGCTGCATTCAAGAAAGTGAAGTTGTATCAGGAAGAAAACACGTATCAATCATGTCTGTATGCTCTCTTTGTAGATGGCTGGCAGTCTAACGAATAAGCGTATATTAAGAGCTAAAATACAGAAGGGCATACACTTAACTAGCTCAAGGGAACCATCTGGAGTGGAGCCTGCTACAGAGCTGAGACCTGAACAGGTACACCCAAACATCAGTTGTGCTCAGACAGCACTGTCCTTCCAGAGGAGATCCCAGAGCAGCTGTGAGAGAAGTGTTCTCCAGCCAGGCCAGGCAGGGGAGGCAGCACGACCACCGCTGGCTTGCAGGCAGTGGGACAGGCTTCCCACCTGAGCCCACACGTGCAGAGCTTTTGTCCACACAGCCCCTGCAGCTGGCTGCTGGGAATCACCTATGGAAGGAACATGGATGGGTCCTGCAGGTCTAGCAGGATAGGCACTGCATTATAAAACCCATCCCAGCAGTGGGAGTGCATAGACTCGGAAAAGTCACAGCTGAGGGTTGCTTTGAGTCCTCTGAGATTCACGAGTCAATCAGATTGCTATGAAACTTCTTGATATCAAGAGATTTACTTGCAGGTTTAATCAACATCATCAAATTGAGATTAAAATGAGCATTTCTATGTATTCTTCCATCTTCCTCTCTCAATAAATGCTAAATAGTTTATTTACGTTCAAACGTGCCTCCTCTGCCTTCCACATCCCCTGTTGCTGCTTAGTCATACTCTGTGACTACGCAACCAGTTGTTATAAAATTTGTGTGAAGTCACAGATGGGGGATTAAAATTTCATTTCACTTAGGAGAACCAGAGTGAGGAAGTGTGAATCCATTTACATAACTCTGCAGTAATTATAAAATTTGAAAGTGGAACTAAAATGTATTAGAGAGTTAATGATTTTATCACAAAGCATCTGGCTAGTATTTTTTGTCTGTCAAGTTAGACTCCTTTTCCTTTTGCAATCACCCTAGGTACAAGAGATTTGAGCCTGATCCTGCAAAGGCTTAAGCACTTCAGTAACTTCCAACACACAAATAATCCCACCAGGACTCAAAGCATACACACCATGTGAATGGAATCATTGATCCAAAGCACACAGAAGTCAATAGACGCCTTGCTGCTGATTGTAATTAGCCGCGGATCAAGCTAAGCAGACACAAGCCTAGACATGACTGGGCCCTCTGTTAGGATCTCAGGATTTCCAAAACCAAGATTTAGGACCAGCACCAACAGAAGGACTTGTCACTGTAGCTGATACATATCTGCATGATAGGCCATCTGGAAGTAAGCCCAGATCAACTCTCATACAATACCTCTGTGTCTCTTGGTCCAGGATTTGCATCTGGGTAGAACTGTGCTGTGAAAATTGGTCTGGTCTCATGCATAATTCCCTGCAGGAATAAAAACAATTGTCTTAGACACCTCCTTGCAAGCAGCCAAGAGAACAGAAAGCCACACCTTACCTCTGTAAGAACCGAATGCCAAAGGACTGGGGTGTTTCTAGGGGCTGCCAAATTGACACTCATTTCATTCCTGGTCTTCAATGACTTATCTGAGGAGTCACTGAGCCTCTTGCTCTTCTGCTAACACTCCAATGCCTCTATAACCCACCAAGCTGTGCATGGATGGGAAGCATAGTGCAGACATCACTTTCACTACAACAGCAAACACTACTAAGTTGTAAGCACTTAACAGCAGGTAGGCTAATCTCCCTCCACAGGTAATCCTGGACCAGGCAGAGAAGAAAAACATACATGGCAAGAAAAGATCACCTTGGACAAGGCTGTTATGGAATGAAAGGGTTCACCATCCTGATCTGATTGGTTCTGTCGTAGGAGAAATGGATTTTGGTCATCTTCTTTATTTCCATAACTCACTTTAAATATTGACACAGGGCCCTGCACACAATCTCTGCCCTGGATTGTTTGCAGGGTTGTGATGAAGTGGGACCACTGCTCTGGACAAACAATGCTATGAAGTACCTAAACTAAGTTTGGAGACAGTGCCTGTAGCTTCAGTTGAAGCCAGGAAAAACAAACTTCTCACTCAAATGGCCTGATAGCACCAAGCAGTGAGGTTCACTGGGAGACCACCCTGTAGCTGTCATTGCTCATGGCCCCTGATTCCAGATGGAGGTAGAGAAGTCCCTCAAGAGGAAATCCAATCTAAAGAAATATATGTTCTTCCCTTAGGTATGGACAAAGCAGTCCAAACAGCTCCTGTGGAACAACAACGTCATCCAGAGCTGCTGCATGGGATGCTGGGATAGGACAGGAATGAGAGACAAGCTAATGACCTCAGCTCATCATGGTATGAGTTTCTGCTCCCAGAGCATTAAGAATGTCGTCAGACTTGCCCTGAATGCTCATGTTACTTCTAGTTACATACAAATACCTTTAAAAAATATCCACTCCACGGCTGGTCAGTATTTGGAAACCTGTGTTGGCCCTGTCCAGATGTGATAGGTCAGGTCAGCCGCAAGAAGTGTTTTTTCCTTTGCAAACAGAAGAATGTAACAGACTGCACATGAGAGCCCATCCAGCCCTGTTCCTGTTTGTTTCCATAGTAAAACAACATTGCTCCTTGTCCCTTTCCATCTATGAAGGTTTAGGAGACTGATGCCGCTTTGGGTCTCAGGGAAATGGTCCTGTGGCTCACATAAGAGAATGTCATGCTTCTAGATCCAGAAGGCTTATCACCTGGTTTATGCAGGTGAAAGCACCATTGCACTCGTCTCCAATCTACAGCGAAAGCAAACATAAAAGGCCTCTAAAGTGTTCAGGTTGTCAACACAGCTAAAACAAGATCATTTCATAAATTGAACCAAAACAGCTGTAAGTTTTTTGTATTAATATCTTGTTTGGTAACACTTGTCTCTGTTTAGATTCGTCTGTCAAGATAAAGAAAACCGCACCCGACAAACAAAACTTATTTTAAAGCGATCGGCTGGAAATTACTGCCCTTCGATTATGCAAAGCATAGCCAGGATACGTCAGAACAGCACTGTTCAGTCTGCCAGACTTGATGTGGGGCACTTATACAAAACAGAGAGGAGTATTCCTGTGGGGAAAACTGCTTTTGAAAATATCTTCTTTTCAATAATTTTCTGATAAATAACAAGACTTCACTGACCTGCACAATATTGGGCCTAATGGATAAGACTTAAGATGGGCAATTACAAAGCCTGAAATCTGTCTCAATGCCTGTCTGACCTTGTCAAAACCGAGCTACAGGATATTGTTTTCCTTCCTATGCTTCTCTCTGTTCAGCTGTGAACCTCCAGAGCCCAGGCATTTTAA